GGAAAACAAGCGACTCCTCCCATCACTCTTCCCTCGAAATTCTGAGCTGATCCCGTGTGAAGCAGAGAGGTATCTTCCTTGCCTCCTCTCTCACGGGATCAGTGGCAATGTTGATCCTTTCCGTTTCTTCTCTCCGAAGCCACATTCCCTGTAATTTCCATTTCAAACAGTCTGCGGTTCCCTCCTGCTAATATCAGAGTAGGTCTGTGCAGTCCTGGCCAGAAAGGGTCCTCTGCTGCATGGGCAGCAGTCTGGCTTGGTCTTCTCGGATACCCGGGACTTGTGATCCTTGGGTAACTTCCAGGATCCGGAGTTGCATGCCGACAGCTAATTCAACCCCCTCCCATTTTTGTGTGTGGAAATATTTGGGGTTCAGTTTTCTTTACTGGGTCATGCAGTTGACTCTTTCATAATGGGTGAACAAAATACCGTGCCACTTTCTCCCTCCACCCAGAAACTGCTCACCCCAACATCGTGAAACTTCCTCCCATCTGCCTCCATGCAGAAGGCTGCCCAGGCCTGGCAGTTGACCTTCTCCCATGTCACTGTGCCAGCTGGCTGCTGGGCAGCACCTGTCTCCGGGAACCTGGCAAGCTGTGCATCCACTCCCACTTCTGTGCTGCTCAGGCCCAGCGTGCACCACGACTTCGGAGAAGAAGGTGCAGGCTGCTGGGTACTGGCACACACCTGTAACCCCAGCTCCTCAAGAGGCTGAGGCAGGAGGATCAGAAGCTCAAGGCCAACCTAGGCGACTCTGTGTCAAAATAAAGTAAAATCAGTGAATAAAAAGACACATATCATTTCGGAGCAGAGGGATTCCAGAAGAGGCGAGCTCTCCAGGGGTTATTGTGCTGTGTCCTTATCGCTATGGGGCTCTTGCTTTGAGAATATAGTGGTTAGCACTAAGTGCTGGCAGGCGGCAGGCAGCTGCGCCCTCCTCAGAGAAGACAAAGCCAGGGTATGTTCAGTCAGCACTGAGCGAGTCACGGGACCGACGGCCCTGCCTTCTCCCCAGTGCAGACCCTAGGACATCTGAGACCCTCAGGGCATGCAGCCCTGTCCTGGTCTCTGTCTCCCTCTCCAGCCCAGGTGGATCTTTGGTCTTCAAAGAACAGCGCAGAAGGCAGGAGCGCAGCACCCAGAGGGTGACAGGAAGACTCTCTGCCTCTCAGGGCATGTTGCCCTCAATGCCGGGGCCGTCCCACACCGGACCCTCAGAGGCACATGGCCCTCACTGTCCCCTCACCATCAGTGGACAGATGAGGACACGCAGAGGCAGAGGTGCCTTGCGTAGACGATAGCAGAATCACAGAGCCTGAATTTGGACACGGCTCTAGTAATGATTATTTTTGATTTTTATATTTATTGATTTGGTTTTTGGTTTTGGGGTACTGAATGGGAATTGAATCTGGACACTTCGCACTGAGCTACATTCCCAGCCCATTTCAAAATTTTTATCCTGAGACAGTCTCACTAAGTCTCTTAAGCTGCACAGGCTAGGCTCAAACTTGCAGTCTTCCTGCCTCAGCCTCCCTGAGGCCTAATGCTATTAATAAAGCCCAATTCTGTGTTCAGCAGGTTTCACAGCTCATGACATCATCTCACCTTTTGATTGTAACTCTGCTTTGTAGTGTTAGCCCCAGCTTGGAAACAGAGAAGGGAGGGGCCTTGCCGTCACTCACACAGCTGGGATGGGGTTATTCATGATTACATGCACCCTATCACTGGGCTGTAACCCCAACCCTTTTGTATTTTCTTTTGATATAGGAACTCAGTAAGTTTCCCCAGCTGTCCTTAAACTCATAATCCTCCTTCGTCAGCCTCCCAGATTGCTGAAATCATAGCTGTGCACCACTGTGCCAAACTGAGTGCACCAGTGTTTTGAGCACTGTCCTGGGTTCCTGTATAAATAAGAATGTGCAGACACACACACACCCCTGATCTATACAGCTCCCATGCATCCTAGGAAGCAGTGGTATTATTCAACGAATTGGGGAATAAATCATCCTGAAAGTGTAAATTAAGTCCTCTATTATTTAGACCAAAGGGGCCTAAGAGCTCTTAAAGAGTAATCAGGGTTCATTCCTTGAGTTTCTTTTTTTCCCCAGTGTTAGGAATTGAACCCAGGGGTGCTGTGCTACTGAGCTACAGCTACATTCTTAGCCACTTTGTTTGCTTTGAGACACGGTCTCAACTAAGTTGCCCAAGTTGACCTCCAACTTGCAATCCTTCTGACTCAGCCTTCTGAGTAGCTGGGATTACAGAAATGTGTTGCCTTACCTGGCAAGTTCGGATCCTTTTAGTCTATGAGTTAAAGTCAACTAGAAAGCTGTAATCAACCCTTGCCTACCCACCCAGCCTGTTCCCTCTGGGGGAGGGGAGGGGCCCTCGATGCCCTCCCCCAGGCCGAATCCCACTCAAGGTGTCAAGGTGTAAGAGGGGAGAGGGCAAATGCGGCTCATTGCTGCATCCAGGTGGGAAGGGTGTTGTCTGGGAAATAAGCGTTTCAAGCCCAAATCAGCAAAGCTGCCACAGGAGGCAGCCAGCTGCTCAGTCCTCCATACCCTCTATGTCCTGGGGCTGCCAGGACAAAGTGCCACAAGCTGCCTGGCTTGAGGCCATGGAGATTCCTTCTCACACCTCTGGAGGTCAGAAGCCAGAACCCATGGCATCAGCGAGGTTTCAGGGCTCACTCTGGAGGCTCCTGGGAGAATCTGTCCCCATGTCCTGATGGCTCCGACTCATGTGATTTTCCCTATGGATGCGTCATCAGTCTCGGCATCGCCTCTGCATGGCCATCCCTCTGTGTCCCTGTCTCCCTCTCCTTTCTGCAGTAAGGACACAGTCACTGGGTTTGGAGCCGTTCCTAAGTCCAAAGTGATCTGGCCTCAAGACCCTTAACTCAGTTTCTTCTTCAGTGACCCTGTTCCCAGTCAGACTGAACTCACCTGTTAGGACTTGAGCAGTCCGTGTGGGACACTGTTCACGCCACTCGAGGGTTTGTCATCAGGTGGGTGGGAAGTGGCAGCGAGTCTTGGGGAAAGGGAGGTTCACCGCTTCCTGCCCCAGCTTCACCAGCCACGTGGACCACCTCCCAGCCTAGGGGAGCGTCCTCTCCAGAGAGACCGCTGCCACCAAGCCTGGAGCAGGCTTCCGAAAAGGCTGCGTTTGTTCTGTGCCCCTTTCTGAGAGGCAGACGGGTGGAGGCCTGGATTCAGCAGCTTCCAGAGCCTCTTCCAACCTCCACACGTCTTCTCCAGCAGCGAGTACCCATTGCGAAGGCGTCACCCTTCTGTCCCCACCTCCATCTCCCTTGTCCGGAGCCTCTCTTCAGGGCTTGACAGGACACATGCCCACCACAGGGGGACGCTTGTCACTTAGCCCGTGAGCAGTGGCTGGCAAGGTGCCCTGGCCAGAGGGCGCACAGGGAGCCCAGGGTGCCGCATTCCACAGTAAGCCTGCTGGCCTGGTTTCCTGGATCTGGAAGCCAGAGCCATGACGGATGGAGAGGAGGGGGCGGACAGAGGCCAGAGGCAGGGGACTCTGCCTGGGGAGCCCAGCAGGCCCTGCCCACAAATCACCCCAGAGTAGTTAGCCCTGCAGCCCTAACACGGCTTGGAGCCTGTTTGGATTTAAGCTCCTTCGGGTACTGGCCTCCTATATTTTGGTATATTACGGTACTTATCATTATGCCTTACCCATGTTGAGTGCAGCTAATGTTAGTGAACTAATGACATTTGCCCTCTTTCTGCCTTTGCATTGGATCCAGTACGCGACGCATATTTGGAAAACACAGTATATGTTTAAATTTTAAAACTGTATTGCAGTAAAAGGCTCATTGCCATTAGCACCCACTCAAATATAGCCCCTGGCTCCAAGCACATTTAGCCCATTGTTCTTGCCACTTCCTGGAGCAGTTCTGCAAGTCTCTGCTGAGTGTCTTTACTTTCGCTGTTGTGGCTGCCTCTGCATCCTAAATCCATTCCAAACATTTAGCTTTGGGTCATTTTGACTTTGGGAAAGAGCCAGAGCCACATGGTGCCAGATCTGGTGAATAAGGTGAATGAGGATGCCCCATAATGGCAGTGTGTCTTTTACTGTAGTAAATTGTTTTGATGAAAGATTCACTATAGGGCTGGTGATTTAGCTCAGTGGTGTGGCCTTGCTAGTGCAAGGTCCAGAGTTCGATTCCTGGTACCAAAAAATAAAGATTCACTATATTTTTCCATGAGCCTTGATCTCCTGGGCTCCCCTGTCCTTCCTGGGGCCTGGGGTGTTCGGGGCTCATCTGGCTCACGCCCACTACTCATCCTTTGTACAATTACAGGACCACAAATAGCAGTCTGAGAGTGGCAGAAGTTAATGTAGACATGGATGAAAGGGAGGGTTGTGGGGCCCCACCCAGGGGTCAGGGACAGGAGTGCAGCAGAACAGATGTGCCCTCCACTCATCCTGGACTCACTCATTAAGTTTGTTAAGAATCTGCGCCTCTGAGGATCCTGAGACCAACCCTTCCCTCCTGGGGTTTGCTCACTGAATCGCCCCGGTTTTCCTTCAGCGATTTGCTATGAAATCACTAAGCCCGGAAGGCTAAGGGAGCTGTGAGGCCCTGTGAAAGCTTAGAGGTCCATGTGGGTGGGTAGGGGGCCAGGCCTGCAGGAAAGCTGGGACTGAGCAGCAACCTGGTGAGGAGAGGCAGGAGGGCAGCTCACCGCCCCAGACGCTGCCTTGTCTCTGTGTCTCTACACACCTTTGCAAGAGAGCCTCCCGGGGGGGGGGGGGACACAAAGCTGTCACTCCATGGAACTGTCACCGTGGCTCTGGGAGAAGCAGGGCAGGGTGTGCCTTCTGGCTGCCCCTACCAACTGCCACCCAGAGGGGCATCCACAGGCGGCCCTTCTCATATCCCTGGCCCTCTGGAGGTCCCAAGCCTGGTGCTCCTGCTCACTGTCTTCCGCCCCTCCTAGAGGCCTCTTTGGGAGAAGATGAAGAGTAAACCCTCAACATTGCAGAAATTGCAACGAGAGAGCCCTGAGTCATGACCCGACTCCGAGCTTTTCAAATACCAGGCCAGGGAGACAAACATACACACAGAGTTTCCATGCTGCTGTGTTCTAGGTTTCCAAGGTGACAAAAGTTCTTGCAGAATAAACAAGTGAATCCCCAGTTCCTGGAAACCAGGCCGTGGAGATCTGAAAACCTGTTCATGTTTTGAGTGGGAGGGGTTTCCTGTTTGCCTGGGACACTTGCTTGTGTCATCCTGCTTTGAGCTGGGGCAGGACAGAGGCCCTGAAAAGGTAAACTTCCCTTTGGGAGTCTGGACACACACGTAGCCACTAAAAAGGCCACTGTACAAGGTCACTGAGAAAAATAATAGAAGTAGAACTTCAGGATTTTACCACTAAAAAGAGAAGCCTTTGTCACCTGTAATGGTCACAGCTGTCCCTGATACTTCAACACCTACACAGCAGAGTGGAGAGGGCTGTTTCCATGTGAGAAGACTATGTAGAAAAGCTGAGGCCAAAGTGGCAGAGTTGGGATCAGAATCCAGGTTGTCCACCTTCAGCGTGGCTGAGGTGGGCTCTGGGATTTTCTGGAGCTGGTGACCCACCTGGGAAGGAAGGTCAGAGGGTCCGGGGTAGAAGGGTGTGGCACAGCTGCCTCTCCTGGCAGGCAGAAGCGAGAGGGGGCCAAGATGGCGGCTCCCTGACCACCGTTCTGGCCCCTGCAACCGTGCAGGTGGCTCTCCCTGGTGGTCTCAGCACTGCAGCCCTCTGCTGAGAGCTAGGTGCAGCTTGTGGTTATCTGAGGCTCCCTAGAGCCCAGTCCAGTGGGGACCTGCCACATGGAGCCTTGAGACCGGGAACCATCCTGCCTGACAGTGGTCGCCCTTGCACTCCCATACCTTAAAAGCTTTCTTGGATTATTATTTTTTTTTTTTGGCAGTACTGGGGATTGAACCTAGGTCCTTTGCACTGAGCAGCATTCCCAGCCTTTCATAGACACACACAGACACACACACACACACACACACACACACACACACACACACACGCAAACACTCACACACATCTTTTTCTTTTCTTTTTTTTTTTGGTACCGCAAACACTCACACACATCTTTTTCTTTTCTTTTTTTTTTTGGTACCCGGGTTTAAACTCGGGACCTAGCGCTTTCGAGGCAGCTATATCCCCAGCCCTCACACACCTTTTCTTAAATTTTGAGACAATATGTTGCTAAGTTCTCTAAGCGGGGCTTTTTATTTGCTTTCCACCACAGACCACAGGAAACAGTGGGTGTGGCTGTCTGCCTGACCTTTTCCTGTGATTTGCCACATCGGGCAGCAGCTGGCCTTTTCCAGCCTGGGTCTCCCAGGAAAAGTGTGGTCCCTTCCCTTCTGAGGTGCCCGGCAGAGGTGACCTTCAGAGAGCTCAGAACAGGTGTTTGTGGCTCCTGAGTTCCATCTGGACCTGAGAGGAGCATTTCCTCAGTAGGAGGGGGAGATGGGGAGGGGGAGATGGGGAGGCCTTCAGGGGACCCTGGGCCATCAGTGCCTGGGGCAGAGGTGGGGTGCAGAACCCCAAGATGAAGTGTAAGGCAAGTTCACAAGCACAGGCTCATTGATCACAGGGTTCAGGGGTGTTCTCCAAGCACTGTTGGGAATTCAGGCTCTGTGCTGGGTTCAAAGGCAGCGCAAAGCCCAGTCCTTCCTTCTTGTGTAGCCGAGTGGTTAAATGAGTTGGTTTGGAGAGAGCCAGGGAACCCTATCCCTACATCTCATTCCTGTATGACTGTGGCTCAGTGGTTTAACCCCTGTGATGTTCAAGCTCTTAGCCTGTAAAACATGAATGAAAATAACGTATCATGTATTGACTTTCTGCTTGTTTTAACTAAGAAAAACATCCTCAGCACTGGATGGGCACTTGGTAGAGGTCAGCTCCCAATAGATGGAGGGAAGTGGTGGGGCAAAACCTTTTGATGTTTCAGGAGTTGATGGTTCACTGCTGCTGCACACATCCATGTGGCAGCCTCTTTGGGCACAGCAAAGAGGAGATGTCATCCGCTTACATCAGCCCGAGGCCACGATGCCATGTCCACCCTGAGGGCCAGAAATCAGAGTGAGTCCTGGCTTAGTCTCCTTCCTTTCCATGCAGGGATTCTCTTCCCTTACAAAGTTATCCTGAGCATCACTCACATCAGCCCCGGCTGAGGTTGAAGTTTTTGAGCATCCAGCCCCTTCAAGGAGTGGTAGTAGCCCAGTCTCCCATGACCTGCTGCCACTTGGGACATGCCAGTTCATATGGAACCCAGCCCGGTGGTCAGTCACATGGGCCTCCATGTCGTGTGGTGAGAGTTACATTAGCCACGTGTGTCAGGGGATGGAGCGTTGGACCAGGCTTTGGGAGATCTGGTTCTGGTTCCAGTGTCCCCACTTACTTGAGTGAGGGTTTCGTGCTCTTCACTGGTAGATAGGACAGAGAGCCCCACCTTGCCTGCTTCACACGGTGGCAGTGAGTTAGAAACACCCCTCCCATGGTACCAGGACACAGTCTATTCCAGAGAGTCTAGTGCCATTCTCTTCTCTTTTGTCCATCGGTGAGTACCTTGGTTCATGTTTTATCAGAAACACAGCAAAAAACAGGTAGCAGAAGACAAACTGCTGTCCCTGGGTGGAGAGCTTCGTTGCCAATCCCTTCAATTGGTAAGCGTTTTCCATCCTACCATGATGGAGCTGGCAACAAGCTCTCTGTTGGAGCCGTGGACTGCCCCAGGGGCCACCTCTCCGGGTTACAGCGGGACCTTCCCAGGTTACCTCTGTGCCCTTCTCCCTCTCTCTCTGCATGTCAGACCCTCGTGCTCCCCCACCATTGGCAGAGGTGCCAAGGACTCTGGAGCACTTTCCTTTCCGGGTGAATTTGCATATTTAAGGCATTTTGCAGATGTCTTAAGTTAATTCAGTGCAGCAAACTTGGGTTGAACATTTTTTCTGCTCAAAAGAATAAAATTCTGTGGCTTCAGTGGACCGGGGCAGCTTTACGGTGGAGGTGACATTTGAATTTTTTTTTTTTTTTTTTTTTTTTGCAGTACAGGGGATTAAACCGAGGAGCCTTCCCTTTGAGCTACATGCCAAGCTCTTTTTATTTCTTAAAACAGGGTCTCACTGAATTGACCAGGTAGGACTCAATCTTGAGATCCCTCTGCCTCAGCCTTCCAAAGTGCTGGGGTTACAGACATGTGCCACTGTGGGGAGACATTTGACTCTCACAGGGATGGCTCTGGGAGCAACCAGACTTGGGCGCAAGCCAGATCAGTCTCCTTGGGAAGCCATGGCCCAGGGATCTGGAAAGTGACATCAAACTCTGCAAAGGGCCTGAGGCACCTCATGGACCAGATAGGAACTGTGATTTTCACCCAGGACTGTGAAGAATGGTTGGTGAGTTTTAGGGAGGGGGTTGGTGCGGTCAAACTTGCGTCCTGGAGAAGATGGCTCTGTTGGCAGCAGGGTAAAAACTTGGAAAGGGACAGCTTGGCAGAAGGGGACTAGTTGGCTCAAGGGGTGAATTTCTAATCTGGACTCTGAGATGCCTGCAAGCTGTTGGGGGAGTTACTTGGGTAGCAAGATGTAAGGCTGCTGCCTAAGGCAGTGTCTGTCCCTCTGAGTCCCTCTTTCCCACTCCTGAGTATGTGGCCAGCCCATGCTTGGAGCATGGCTCTCTGCCTGTTGCTCACGAGGGTTTTCCCTGGAAATCAGTGTGCCTGGAAGCCACTGTCTCCTGTCCAAACTGTCTCCCACCACAGGGCAGCCCTGACTCGGCTCCTGGATCTGGCCCTCCTCCCTCTTCATGGGGCCACTTAGTAAGTCATTCTGTATGGCACCCATCCTTTGAAACCTGGTTATTTCTCAAGGTGAGAGTCAGAAGAAAACACTGGGCCAGATCACAGCTCAGCCTGTGCCATTGGGTCACCCAGAAAGGGCAGCCAGACTGGGTAGCCAAAAATAGCCCTATAGGGCTAGCTCAGATTCTGCTTGTAAGTATGAAGGTCCAGGCTCCAGGGAATTTAACCTTTTGGGAACCGGATGTGCCGTGATGTTTTCCTGGGGCCCATGTTGAGAATGTGGCCATGGCAACTGAGTGTAGATCTCAGCAAAGTGAGTGGGGGTTTTATTCCTGTGATGACTGCCAGTCAGGGCCCCTGATGTGTGGATGTCCAGTTCAACTCACTTAGGTCCATATCCTGGGAACGTCACTAGAATCTGCCACCTGTGGCACATTGGATAGTGGAGTGATAAGTACTCCAATGTCAGAGTGGTGGCAAGTCCCACCTCTGCCACTCCTTAGCTGGGTGACCTGGACAAGTCCCTTGACCTTGGAGAGCCTTTTCCCTGGCTATGAAAGGGGAACAGTTAGACCCAGTGCAAAGAATGATGTGAAGTTTGAATGGAATCAGCTAAATTCACTACTAGGTGCAAGGTGGGGCTCCACCTGCAGTTGATCTCTTTCAATAGTGTAATAAAGTGATTTTTTTTTTCTAAATCAGTGAGCCAGGCTTGGTCTGCAGCTCTGAGGGTAAACCCATGAAGTAGGTGCTAACGTTTTCTTCTTCTTGTAGATGAGTTAAGTGAGGGTCAGGGTCAGGTTTACCTTGTGCTTACTAAACCTGGGAAAGGTTACTCTGTCCAACAGCCTGAGCCCGAAGCTGCATTAGAGACTTCTCCTCACAGGACCCTGGTGGGGCTTCAGAAATGACCCTGAGAAGGAGCCCCACCAGAGAGACACCTGCGAGACTCTGCTTCGAGATCACTAGCATCGCATCCCCTCACTACCCCTACCTGCCAGACCTCGAACAGAATGTAAAAGGTAGTGGGAATGAACTGAGTCTCACTTATAGCTTCAATTCTAGTGCTTTTTACAAGGAACAGTAGAGGAGGATGGGCTAAATAATTCAGTTGAGTTGCCATAAATATGTACTCAGCCTTTCCCAGTCAGCCTCTGCTTCCTGGAGTACTTAAGGAGATTCCATAAACACTTTTTTATAGCCCTTTTTAAAAAAAAATCCTTATTATTTCTTTTTTCAATGAGCAGTGTAATTTATATACCATGAAATTCACTTGTTTTATTAGGTTCTCAATTTACAGTCTTGTATAACCATCGCTGCAATCTAATATTAAAACATTTACAATTCCCTTGTCATTTATATTTTAAAGTGGATAAAATGGGGCATGCTGGTCTTGTCAAGCCTGGGACTGGAGAGTTAATAAGGAAGCCTTTGGTTGAAAGGCTGGATATTTCCCCAGGTAGGAAATAGGGAAGCAGCTCAGAAGCCAGGAAGCTTTTTTGGCTGGAAATCCCCAGCTGTCTTACAGGCAACAGTCACAGAGACAAAACTCAGTGGAGGGGGAGGTCCAGGATCTTGGGTTTGGGGTTTTGGCTATAGCTGGAGTCCCTGGTCAGTCCGCCCAGTGCAGGGGAGAATGTCTTTGAGAATCCCCTGGGAAAGAGCAGGGAGAGAAAAGGCCAGCCCAAGTGGGTTCCAGAGGGAGTCTGTAATATGGGCAGAGCAGCCTTCCAATAATTTCTCGCCCTTCAGGAGGAGAGGGATCCACTGGAAAGAACTTATGGAGATGAGGTTAAATCCTGGCTTCACCAATGCTGGCTCCAGGCCCCAGTGACCTCTGATCAAAATTAGAGAAAGCACTTGTCCTATCTCTGGCATGTGTGTGAAGTGAAATGACAATATGCATTCGAATGGTCAGGCTTGCAATAAGTGCTCAGCAAGCACCTGCAGTTGTTATTAAAGAAAAGGAACTTGTGAAAGATACTAGACTTGAACACATGATGGAGGCTTATCAGGTTCTTTGGGAGGAAAGGAAGTAAGTCATTCTGATGGTTCAAATCCATATTCTTCCATTTACTGATGTGGCTCTGGGCAAGTTGCTTGACTTCTCCAAGCCTCGGTTTCCTTGTCCATGAAGTGGGCCTAAGAATAGTGCCTGCCTTAGCAAGCTGGCAGAGGAGCAAATGAGATGATGCATGTATGGTACCAAGTCAGGGCCTGACACGTGCCCAGTGTCCTGCAGGGTTGGCCATGGTCATCAGTGTTGTGGTCAGCACCCCTGATGGCTGCAATGGCGAGGACTCATCATGGTATCTTTTCAGAGGGACCTTCCTTCCCTGCCCCTTGGACAACATCATTCAACACTGCAACTTCTGGTGGACAGGAAGCTCACCATTCCTCAGTCAGAGCAAAAGCCTGAAAAGAGAGGCCTGTGAAGGGGCTGGTGAGAATTCAGGGTGCAGCTCTGGGGTGTCTGGGGGTTTGCTCATTATTCCTTGTGCATAAATATGAGTGAGGGGGATGGGCGAACAAGCTGATGCTTAAACAGGGAGATGTTGTGGTCCCGTGCTCCCAGTGGCACCCAGAGGTGCGTTTTTGCATGCTGTCGTGTTCCACATTGCCAGACCCCACCTTAACATCCCCATCCCACAGGCCAAAGGACAGGGACCCCAGAGCCCTGTGTGTCACACACGAGTACGACACAGGGCTGCTGGCTCCAGCCCTGCACAAAGAAGAGCGATCCAGCACAGCCAAGTCCAAGCCCCCCCCCCCGCTTGTCTGTGCTTCCCTCAGCCCACTTCAGCCCACCAGCCCCGAGGTCCCAGGCCACCGTCCTCCATCCCAGAGGGAGGTTGGGGATACTCTTCAGCATAGGTAAGCAGCTAGGGATGTGCACTGGGATAACACACTGAGCCAGCTGTGGTGGTGTATTCCCATGATCCCAGCTATCTGGGAGGCAGAGACAGGAGGATCTCAAGGTTAAACCCAGCCTGGGCAGTTTAATACTTTTCTGAAAACTTGTCTCAAAAAATAAGGATGGGCTGGGGATGGTGCTCCATGTAGAGGCCCTGGGTTCAATTCCAAGTACTGCAAGAAAGTAAAAGGAAGGGAAGAAGGGCAAGAAAAGAGAAATTTCGCACTGGAAAAGTTGCTGTTTGGCTTTTCTTCTCTCTGCTAACTCAGATACAATGAACTCCCAAATCCGCTCAAGCATGATGTGGTAAAGGCAATAAACTGGTGTCAAGCCCTGTCAACCAGGTCAGTAAATGAGACTCATTAAGCATCACCTAACTACAGGTAGACCAGGCTGTGCCTTTTGCGGACGGGCTTTGCAGAGTCGGGACTGGAGGCACAGAGTACTATTTCTAGTTTCCCTTGAAGCCACTGGGCCCTGCCTTGGGAAGAAATGACTCCTGGCTTCATCTGTTCGGGCTGCCATAATAAAAATCTATCTGCTGGGAAGCTGATGAACAGCAGAGAAGTCTCAGGCTGGCAAGTCCAAGATCAAGGCCCCAGCAGATGCAGTGTGTGGTACAGAACCCACTTTCTGGTTCATAAATGGGCCTCCCACCGAGTGCTCGCCTGGTGGGAGGGTGAGGGCACTCATCTCATTCATGCGGGCCCTGTGCCCATGACTGTTCACCTCCCCCAGGCCTCCCCTCCTAATGCAGTCACCTTGCAGGGCAGGATTCCAACATATGAATCTGAGTGCTACATAAACTTGCAGCCCACAGCAACATTTCCCCCGGGCTACCTCCTAACATCGCTGCCAAGCAAAATCAGGCAGTGTGGGCCTGATTGAGCTTCGGGGTATCGATGCATGAAGCTATTTCCATTCTTCATAATTAGCATGATTTTGAAAGAACACTTAGCAGTAGAGTTGGAAATGAGATATTTTTTTTCCTGCCCTGCAAATTGGGTACCAGGTTGCGAAGCCCGTGAGTCCCTCCCCACTCCCACCTGACTCCCACTTCCAAATATGAATCAGACGTTTACTCTGTTCTACTTTCCTCTGTAAAAAGGAAAGCAGAATCTAAACCTAATTAAGACAGCGCTTCAGATCTGTAGCTAAATTCATTCATAGCCCGACTGCACTGGGACGCTGGGCTTCCTCTTCATCTCACGCTGTGAATGTGGTGCAAATCATTACCATGTATCATTCATTCTCCGGTTAAGGCACTAGAGAAATCTTTGCAGTTTTTACCCTGCTCTCACGCTCAGTAGGACCATGAGGCTCCCATCACTGACTGCAGATGTACAGAGGTCTCAGACTCAGACAAGGCTCAGAAAGCCTTCCTCATTAATTCACAGCTGCGGCCACTTCGAATATGCTATCCGAAAGGCCTTCTCGGCCTTGTTCCTTGGCGACCAGAGCTGAAGGCAAGAGGATCCCGAGGGCGTGAATGTAACAGTGGTGGCTGTTGGGTTACCTGCCTGCCACTCCTAGCTGTGCCACCCCAGAGATCCACGACCTCTCTAGGCCTCCTCTGCTGCATCTGTAATGCACTGGGTCCCAGACCTGCTTCACAGGACCATTCTTAGGGATCCACAAACATTTTGAGATTCCTGCAGTGGGCCAACCGCTGTGCTGGGCAACAGGAAGAGAAAGGAAAATAAGTGGTTGGCCTGCATAAGAAGGTGCTCTGAATGCAGAATTTTCAACCAGAGGCACTGTTGCCCCCGGGGACACTGTGCAGTGAATGGCTGATGGGTGACATTTTTGGTTGTCCTGACTGGGTTTCCGTAGTCGGCTGCCTAGGGTGCTGCTAAGCCTCCTGCAGGTACAAGGACAACCAAGAGTCACTCACCGGTGATCAAATAGCGCCCAAGCTGGGAACCCTCAGACTCGTCAGAGCGAGGCAGGTGCGAGGCGGAGTTTCAGTGCTTCGTGGCAGGACTCATGAGAATGAAAAGGCCCTTAGACAGGGGCCAAGACTCAGCGGCTCTCAGTGCCCTGCCAACCTTCACCAGAGTCCCCTCCACTCTCCCAGAATGAAGACAGAATTTGCATTCACTTAACAAGAGAGTTGTGACTCTAGGTGACATAAATCCAGCTCATGTGATCCAACTGTGTTCTGGCTCTCGGTTCCACCTCTATCAAAGTCCACCCCCATCAGTGGGGGCAGAGAGAGCCCAGAATGGGAGCCCAGCCTACTTGGGAAGGAGGTGGCTTACAGCAATGAGGATTCCTTTGCATTTCCTTCCTTTCTCATTTAAAGGCTCCCAGGCCTGACTCTGCCGGGAGGGATTATGAAGGAGTCAGTCACCCAGTGAATCATGGGAAAGCTGTCTCCAGAGCCCCAGCCAACCCACCCAGCTGACATAAGTCTGCCTTTCTGCTTCCCTTTCTCCCTCTACCACTGACTAAAAATAAAACAGAAAATCATTAACATTGACTTACTGCAATAACTTATACTTTTATAATAGGAAAATATAGTAAAAACACTGAAAGAGGCCAAACTGGGAGACTCCAGGAGTCAGGATTCGGGCAGGGAAGAGAGGGATGAGGGGTTCCGTGTGGGCAGCGCCGGGCTCATTCAAGACCTCCACTCCAAGCCGTCCTCCCCTCTAAGAGGTGAAGGCGGAGTCGGAAGAGAACAGGAGCCTGTGGTTCAGAAAGCTGAAGTATTAATACCATGGGCTTGGGAAACATCTCAGTTGCTCTGAGACTTCTGTTTCTTGGTCAGCAAAATTGGCTTTAGTGGTACCATAAGTCCTCAACTTACGAACATTTGCGTTGCAAACTTTCACAGGTATGCTGTGTACGAGTCCCAGGTGGACTATATAAGACTCACTTTGTCGGATTATGAAGGAATCCAACTTGTGAATGTTCTCCCAGAATGGAACTAGTTCAGAAGTTAGGGACTTCCTGTATACCCAGGCCTGGGCAGAAGGGTGAAGTGTAGGTCTTCAACAGCTAAGCTGCCTTCTACTATCAGTGCTCAGTGTGTTGAGGTTGTGAGGATAGCACTGTATTTTTGTCTTCATCTTTTAAAGTGAAGTCCTCTAGTAGTTATGGATGAAATGATGTCTGCCATTCACTTTAAAATAACCCAGGGCATTGGCCCTGAATCAAGGCTGGCACTTTCCGGAAACTGTTGGTTTCAAGCAGGACCCTAATGACGTCTTTCTGTGCTCTGTTCACCATTTCAGAACTTTGGAAATATAATGGTCCATTCATTAGAGAGAAATGGCTTACTAAAAAAGTAAATTTTAAGCCAAGTGTAGTGGTGCACACCTGTAATCACAACACTCGGGGTGCTGAGAAGGAGGACTACTGCAAATTCAGGGTCATCCTGGGCCACATAGTGAGTTCAAGACCTGAACTCATAGTGAGAAAAAAGAACAAAAATTGAAAAATTATACTTTTAAAGTTATTTTAAAATATATTCAAATATCAAAACTATATTTAAATTTTCCTTATTATAGTTCTTATCTCATTTATTTAGATGGAGATAATACTTTCCAACTGTCTTTTAAATCTGTCCGTAGATAACCATTATATTTTAAACATTTGTCTTCAGAGTTTTTTTGTTTTTTGTTTTTTTGATGCTGGGAATTGAACTCAGGACCTTGTGCTTGCCAAGGCAGGCACGGTGCCACTGAGCTACATCCCCGACCCCTCTCTTCAGAGTTTCTAGTTACTTTGCACAAGCATTTTATACATTAAGGAGAGTAATTCTTTATTAGATATTTATCCCAACAATTAATAAATTGGTAAAATATTAGTAAACTAAATAGAAAAACTTCAGCTTTCCTATCAAAAGATCAAGATTCTCCTTCATACTAAATAAAAAAATATTTTTTTCAGTTTTTTTTGAGACAGGGACTCACATTGTTGCCCAGGCTGGCCTCAAACTGCTGGGCTTAAGGGATCCTCATGTCTGAACCTCCCAAATAGCTGAGCCTACAGGTATATGCCATCACGCCTGGCTGAGAAAACGCACTTTAATTTCCAAATATTTGGTATCTCTCGCCAGGCAAATGAAATCCACCAAAATTTATGCTTTCCATATAACAGTTAATATTGAACAAGTGCTTCCACTGTAAAAGTAAATTTCTCAATGTCTGTAATAAAAATGTACTTTTCAGATCCAATAAACAACCCAAAAAGCCTTGTAGTCTGATGGTAATTGTAGTTCTGTAGCCTACTCAAGAGACATTATGAAGTTTCAAAGGCAAAATTATTGAAAGGAGGGAAAAAAAATCCCATTTTTGGAAACAATTTGTAATTGGAATGAAATTTAAAATACGTTATCAGATATAGCATCATCCTTTTGTTTTGATAGAAAACTAATTTTTTGGTAATATATCAACAGCATTAAATTGGTAACGAGATAATCAGGGATCTAGAGATAAGTATTGTATGGCTATATTACAAAGCAATTTGAAAATAGATTCTTTGACAAGGTACTTTTACCTCTGGGGATTTATTTGGAGAAGATAATCAAATGCAGGCCAATAATTTTACCAAAAAAGGTATACTAACTGGAAACAGCTTTAAAATGTTTGAAGATAGGAAATAATGAAGTAAATTTTGGCAAAGACAATTGGAGTATTTTTAGGCATTAAACATTTAAAAATATATGAATGACAGGGATATGATAATGACAAAAATGAGATATGAAATTTTTTAGACTGCATTTAACTGTGTGGAACTGAATGCCAGGAAGGAATGTAACAAATGGGATTATTTTTGCATGGTGGGGGTAGGAATACCCTTTTTTCACTCTTTGTATACTTTCTGGGTCAACTTGAGTTTAATTTTTTAAAAACCTCACTTTATAGATATTAAGGTTTATTTTAGACATTCCTTATTACGCTGTACTCAAATAGTGTATTAGAGCATAAATATTTTAATGAGCAAAGTTGGAGATGAAATGTATTTAAGAAATGAAGGGAATGGGCTGGGGATGTAGCTCAGTGGTGCTGCACCTGTCTGGCAAGTGTAAGGTCCCCAGTTTGATCCCCAGTACCAGAAAAAAAAAGGAAGTGAAGGGAATTATTTGTTTTCCTTTTGTGCTCTTTGCCTCTCCAATCCATAGCTGTGTGAGTCCCTTACCCTTCCTTAAGTCCTTACCAGAGAGAAAGTTATGACTGTCGTCAGTAACCTGTCAACCAAGTCTTTACTCTGGTCTAATGGACACGGCACTAGACTGAAAGAGGGAGAAAAGGCAGGAAACTTTCATTTCTTGTCCAGATGTGTTACCTAGTGTATATTAGTGGTTTCTGTTTTCCCCAAGGGTGTACGCCTCCAGACGAATTCATCATGTTACACAAACAAGGTCTAAGAAGTTTGTGCAAACTTAGCCAGTCTGCTTAGCAAGCGAAAGCTGTGTTGTTTGTCAGGTTACAAATCAGGCTGGCTTCAAATGCTGCTAGGGATGCGGAGAGATTCCCTGCAACAAGCCCATTCCTGTGCGCCTCTCTGGGGATCCCTGGCGCCCACAGTGTTCCCTGTCACCCCCTCAGGCACACAACCCAGAGCAGGTCCTGACCGTGTCAGCCAGGCTGCAAGGTGGCCCTGTGGATGTGTGCTTGAGTCTTGTGAGCTCAGCCCACAGAGCACTCACCCCTGGGGTTCAGTGATGCTTCGGATGTCATGGGTGATGGTTTCTGATCCCTCACTGACCCTTGGAGATCATCAAAGGAATTGTGGAAGTCTCAGTGGATGGATTGGGCCTGGTAGAGATGGTCACTTTGAGTGGGAAACCAGAACCCACTTGTGTCCGCTGACATTTTGTTGTGGGAACTATTTGATTTTGGTGGGTTTGAATTTCCCATTCTTCAAACGAGTATCTCTGATGATCTCTCACTAAATGGGGTAGCCTGTGTTGGTTTTCTTCTGGGTTACAGAGTGCTGTTGTCAAATGCAAAGCCAAATTTGGGGAGAATGGGTCGGTGGTGTCCAAGGCATGTGGGAAAGGAAGAGAGGTAATGTTTGAGACTCTGTCTCATGGGAAAGACATCTTTGGAAGGAGATCCAAAGGCCTGCATTTTAGCCTTTCCGTGCATCTACTTAATCTGACTTCTATCCTCTGAGAAAGTAGCCCACAGGACTGGGCTGTCCTTAACTATCTACAGTGTCTTCTTTCTAACCTAGGTAGATTTCTGTGATGGCTATCTCATGTACAATACAGTAAAAAACGATTGTATATCATTTCCATTAAGTGCTAAAGAACATTTAAAAAGTCACAGGGCAGGAGGAGTAGGTTGGGGGATAGAAAATTGGCAATGAGTTGATAATGGTGGTGGCTAGTGCTGGGTCTGTGGATCTCCCTTATTCTAGTGTGTTCTGTGTACTTTTGAAATTGAAATTTGACATTATTTAAAACTATCTTTGAGCAAAGAGTTCTGGAGATTGGTTGCGCAACAGTGCGAATGTACTTAATGCTATTGACCTACTCACTTAAGAACGGTTAAGATGGTATATTTTATTGTTACATAAATTTTATACTATAATTAAACATGTGTACTTATGACAGTAATTTAAATGGGCACTATGTAAGACACAGGGAATGTAGAAAAGCAATAATATCAGAGGAAAAAAGAAAAGGAAGCCAGGATGCAAAGAGTATAGCTCTTTTACAGTCTTTTCTGGGATTAGTTAGGAACAGCTACGTTAGGGAACAGGGCTGGCCCATCCCAAGTGGCAGCAGGTAAAAGGTGAGCTTTGGTGTCGACACTGAAATCACTGTCCTGGTGCAGCTGCCGTGAGCTGGTCGTGGAGGAGTGGGGAGTTTAGACAGAGGTGGAAAAGAGGAGAGCTGAGCCCTAAGTTCCTTCCCCACAAGCCGGGGTAGCAGATCCCTGCCTCCCAGGACCTGAGGACACAGGAGGAGGCCCCATGTCTGCAGGGAGCACTGTGTCCTCTGGTTTGGCTGCGACCTAGTGCAGACTGGAAGGTGTTCAGAGCACAGGGCAGAGTGATGAGTTATGTGGACTTGGGATGGAATGAAGTAGGAGCAGTACTCGCTCCCCTTTTCGCCTTTTAAAAAATACACATCAGGGACAGAGTCATGGGAAACTCCCTGTCATGCATCCTGGAATCACAGTCCTTTACTGCAGGGTTCACAGAATGGTTGGTGGCACTGAGTGCCTCCTGATGGACGATACCAGCTTAATGGTGTAAGTGGCGCCATGAGGCGCTGGTACAGAGCAGAGGATCCTGGGTGGCCGGAGGCCTCCTTTCTGGCCCTAATTCTTCAGTTATGAGTTCTGGGCTCGTGTCATTTCCTCTCTCGGCTCCTGGGGTCCCCTCCTTGAAATGAGGAGCTGAGTGTTCCCTCCTGTGACCAGCAGAGCTTATGGTGACAGGCCATTTCTGTCCTTGTTTACAGTTGTTCCTGGTTGCCAGATGACACTGGATGTGTCTT